GTGTGTCGCAATGACAAGGAGTTCACTTTCCGTTCCTTTTTGCTCTGTGCTTTACTGTATTTGTTCTATATTTTCCATATAAGGAGAGGTTTCCTGAATACCTCGAAAACCACTCTGAGATAAACATTTTGATAAGAAACAAACGTGGCGTATTAGCAAGACGGGACTGCATTTGTACAGAGCAAAAACTGCACTACTGTCTGTACACTACTCTAGCTACCTTTCAGCTATAAAAAAAAATATATTAAAGTTCTGCTACTGGTCTACAAATCACTTCAAAGTTTAGGTCCAGAATAGAGAGAAATGTCAGGGGAATATAAACCCTGTAGAGATCTTAGACCTACACACTCCAGGCCAGTTAGAGGAGCCCAGAGTCGAAGCAAACATGGTCAAAAAAAAACATGATCTCAAAACAAAAGTCAGCTACTAATGTGAATATTTAGTAGTAGAATATATATATATATATTTAAATGTTTTTAAATAAATTATTTTATTCTCTTTATTTTAATTTATATTGATTATATAAATAGATCGAAATATCGATCTCGTCAGTTAGAGGTATTTCAGCTTAAGTACGTGAAGCAAAAAAAAAAAAAAAGGAGAGTTAAAGAAAAACAAGAGCGAGGGAAGCAGAGGCTTTTGGACTGACCGGGATTGAAGTGTTTGATGTGAGACTCCTGTCCTTCCCCCTCCAGCTTCTCCCATCTGATGACATCTGTCTTCTTCATTTTGATCTCCACCTGGGAGAGTAAACAGGGGAGAGTTGAGGAAGAAAAAAAAGAAAAAGTGTTTATAAAATGACCTTCCTGAAAGTGACAAAACAGTAAAGATTCCATAAAAAGTCCATTGTTAAAAAAAAAAATAAAAAAAAATACAGTGGAACCTTGAGATATGGCCCCTGTTTTTAATAGTTATAGAGACACACAAAAAAAATCTATTTTTTTTGTTGTTGTTGCTTTTTTCAATTTGTATTCTTCCTTTAGCGCGCACTTTGCTCTGATTTATTTCCATGGTCGTCGTCATTGTTTCTTCTCCTCTCTACCGTCCTTACAACTCACTTTCTTAGGATTCGTGAAGAATAATGCACAAAATAGAGAGGAAAAAAAAAATCACGTAGATAACGCAAGCACAATACGGCAAAAAGACTCGCGGGAGATGCGTACGGAAGTCGACGAACAAGAGAGGCGGCGTGGGCTGCTCCGAGTGCTCGGCCACCTAGCTAGTTGGCGTCTGTTAGCGTGCTCGTATCTCGACTCTTTACTCGCGTCTCAAGGCAAGAATTCGCTCGAAAGGATCGCGGAATACTGGTACGTCGGGACGCTGGAATTTTGAGGTTTCCCACCATCTGCCAACAACCCAGGCTATGAATGAATCTGTGTTTGTTTGACAGACAGAGTGCACTAACGAGATGACTGTCAGCCAGCGGGGGGGGGCAGTGCGAGACAAAACAGGACAGAGAAAACAAATTCCACACCGGGCGCGGAGCACAGGTTGGACACGGACACACTTGAAAGCCTTAAACTGCACTGACAGGCCACACTGGAGCGAGATATACAGTGCAATACGTTTGATCTGAGAGAGAGAGACAGAGAGAGAGAGAGAGAGCACGGCCGTCAATGCAATTAGGCGGCGTTTTTTTTTCCCGCTAAGCCGGCTGATGCGATGATTCATTTATGAAGGGTGCCAGAAGACGAGGAGAGGCAGGAGGTAGACAAGGTTAGAGACAAGAAGGCAGAAAAAGGCTGACGGAGGGGAGCAGATTGAGCGCAATAAGACAGTATGATGTCCCTGGTGGGGGCGATGAGTTAGTGCGAGTGGCAGTGGAATGAAAGATTACTAGGGTGTGTGTGTGTGTGTTTGTGTGTGTGTGTATCCCACGAAGGTCATTGGGTATAGCGGGGGGCACAGTCAAAAATGTGATCTATGGCTCATTTGCAATGTAAACAGATACAGTAGCTCCGATTAAAATTAAAGAGCGACACGGAATTTATGTAGCAAAGATGCACGAGACCTACGAGGGATTACAAAAATCGAATAAATAATCCAACGACTGATGATAATTGCCAACACGCTCTTTACCTACGACTGGCTCGGTCTGCTATTTTATCAACTATAACAAATAACCATAAACGCTGCATTTTCGATGGCAGTGTTGCATATAAGCCTCTACAGTGGACGCCTGCGAATCCACTGTGGAGGCTTATATGCAACACTGCCATCAAAAACCATTCTTA